TTACTATATAGTAACCTAACTGTGTACGCTTTCTGAAAAGTCATGAAAAGTGTTTTGAATCCTTACTTGTAGGATTGAGTCTAGGGTTGAGATAGTGTCATCAGACATGAGAATATGGCCCACAGTATGCCTCAGATTGCAGAAAAATGGCTTAAATAATTCAAAATTTTCTGGGGGGGCATGCCCCCAGACCCCCCTATAGCACTGGCATGCCTACGGCACGCGGGCCTGCCGCCTGCCTGCGGCAGCCAAGGTTAATTTTGCCCCCGGCTATCGCCGATCATCCCCCCCTTCCACTCCTCGGTACGGATTTACGCCCCTGATTCACGCACATAGTTCATTCATTCATTCACAACTCCCGTGAAGACAAAAATGGAAAAGTAAGTTTGGCGCCATCTTCCGTCGAAAATCGCCGCCAAACTAATGATAATATTGATCTATCATGACATCATCTTCCGACCAATCAATGCTATTGCATCTGGAGTCGCTTCAGACTGATACCACGTCTCTCGATACGACGTCTGAATGTGCCAGTCTGCGTGGCTGAAACGGACGGGTACAAGTCTAGAAAAGAAATAGAATAATCCGCCATGACTGTGTGTGAGAGAGCGGCAGGCAGGTAGCAGACGAAGGAGAGAGAGCGGTAGCACACCCCAGGTCAACAAAAAATGTGGTAGGTAAATGTCTACTAACCTATGATTTCTCCGAAAATCCATCGCTGCCAACGTGCGCGCTTCGTGTACAATTCGCGAAAGTTATACCGTCTTTTCGAGATACGACGTTCGCCTAAAGACGGTGCCCATATGGAACCCGAGGTTTTGGAAAGCAAAACACAGGCAGACGACAATTTCGATCGCGCGACATCACACACATCGCTGATTGTCATCGATGTTTAATTAATAATAGAAGCGGAAGGTTGTTGGCATTTCGGAGAGCTAATGAGGCAAAGGATTTTTACTTACCGTTTATTATTAATATTAATCTATAATATTACGTATCATCATCATACATGTAAAATTGTAAGTTGTAAATGTAGCGACTAACGTATCTATGTACTGAGTCACATGCAGTGAGTGATGAAAATTAAAAGCTTAGGTTGTCGGTTGTTTTGTGAGTGTGGATTCCGTGAGACGGGATCAGGCGATCGTGATTGATTGATTGATTGATTGATCGTGATTGAAAATTCAATTATGGATGTCCAGTATCGCAGTAATCAATCAATTTCTTTCTGTGCTTCTTCTTTTTCTTCTTAATTTTTTCTTCTGATTCTGCTACCGTTGGTGTTGCTGCTTCTTCTTCTCCCCCTCCTCCTCTCTCTCTTCCTCCTCATCCTCATCCTCCTTCTCCCGCCCCTCCTCCTCCTCTTCCTCCTCTTCTCTGTGCTGTGGCTCTGTCTCACTAAGTCATTATGCAGTAGCAGCACAATCTTATAGCACGCCCCCTCCCACCAGTCAATTATCGAGCGTAGCTATGGGAGGGTTCCATATGGCACGACGAAAAAACGCTTAGTCAGGATCGAGCGTCTGCCCCACAGGCACTTGGGAAAGAGTCAGTAAAAACTGAAAATAATATGAACGCACATTCATAAATACTACCGTACCTCTCAATTACAGTTCCACTGTTGTGTCACTGTATATCAACTTTCCTTCATAAAAACTAACACCGAACGCTCCCGCCCTCGCCACTGCGAGTGTGCTGTTGTCGCCATTATAATGATAATAATATATAAAGTAATAATAACGTATAATATATACTTTATATATTATTGTCATTATAATGGCGACACAGTGCGGGAGCGTTCGGTGTTAGTTTTTATGAAGGAAAGTTGATATACAGTGACACAACAGTGGAACTGTAATTGAGAGGTACGGTAGTATTTGTGAATGTGCGTTCATATTATTTTCTGATTCTTTTTACTGACTCTGTCCCAAGTGCCTGTGGTCTGCCCCTGTCCCCTCGTTCACGCCGTATCACACTTCACGTGGCATGTTGGCGCAGATGTGTGTGACGCCTTCCTGCACGTACGTAGATGCAATGTCGTGTAGAGAACGTGAACGAGAGAGAGAGAGATATATAGAGAGAGAGAGGGCGAGCGAGAGAGAGAGAGAGAGAGAGAGAGAGAGAGAGAGAGAGAGAGAGAGAGAGAGAGAGAGAGAGAGGTTAGATGTCTATATAATAGGAGAGAGGGAGGGAAGAAGGAGAGAGAGAGAGGTTAGATGTCTATATAAGGAGAGAGGGAGAGAGGAAGAGGAAGAAAGAGAGAGAGAGAGAGGTTAAATGCCTGTGTAGGGAGAGGGAGAGGGAGAGAGAGGGGAGAGAAAGAGTGTGTGTGTGAGAGAGAGAGCTAGAGACTGTATTAAAATCACCTCTGGCAAAAAACAGCAACACGTGTAAATGGACTATATATGCAAAATAAACACAATTAATATTATAAGTAATAAATTAATAATAATAAGTAAAAAAGTAATAGTAATCTATTAATATTAATAGAGAGAGGTTACCAATGATCAACAATAACGTTCACGGACAATAACGCCTCGCGACTCATTCTGCTATGTTAATTATAATAAGGACATAGGAGCGACGCCCCCCCCCAAGAGACAGACGCCCCCCACCCCACCCCACCCCGACATCCATGCTCACTCACCCCCATCATCAGAGAAGGCAGAGATAGAGATTGCGCCGCCTCACTCACGCACCATCCACCCGTGCGCAGGAAGATTATAACTCCGCAGATGGTTGATCATACTTGAGGTGAGACTCCGTCCGCCCCTCCTCCACCCTGATCGCCCCTCCCCTCCCCCCGCGCCCCACCCCCGTCCCCTCCCCCACCGCCGCTCACTCACCACCATCCACCCGGTGCGCAGGAAAGATTATAAACTCCGGCAGATGTTGATCAAGCACGAGTGAACACTCCATCCCACTCCTCCACCCTGCGCCCTCCCCCCTCCCCCCGCTCCCTCCCGCCACCCCACCGCCGCTCACTCACGCACCCATCCCACGCCGGTGCGGGCAGGAAGATTATAACTCCGCTGATGTTGATCATGCACGATGTGAAGACTCCATCCCCCTCTCCTCCACGCCTGCCCCTCCCCCGCTCCCGCCCCACCCCCCACCGCCGCTCACTGCACCACATCCACCGCGGTGCGGCAGGAAAGATTATAAACTCCGCAGATGTTGATCATGCACGATGTGAAGACTCCGTCCCAAGTGCCGAACAGACACGGCTGCGCACGGGAAGAAGTTCGCCTTCCACCAGGGGCGCTGTTCGTGCTGCTCCTCCCTGTACAGCTCGTCGCGGCCGCGTCGCCATGGTAACCGTCGCAGTAATGGCGGCGGCGGTCGGAGCCCCGCGCCGCCTCGTCGTCGCGTAGACCGTACGCCGCCCATGCGGGCTGCGGGGGCAGACCGGTGAGATTTCGTGTCGGCGCATAGACAGTGGTCGGTCGTGGAATGTGCTAAACGCTGCCCGGAAAAACGCAGAGGCATCAACAAGATGGAGTAGGAGGAGGGAAGGAGGAGGAGAAGGAAGTCGATCATTGATCGATATTATTATAATCAATAATTAGGAATCGATACAGCTGGGATTGACATATTACATCCGAGTAGCATTAGTAACGATACATTACAATAGATACATTACAGTCGATATATTAGGATAGATACATTACAAGTCTATACATTATGATAGATAAATTGTGATATAGATACATTACAGTTGATACAATACGATAGATAAATCACGATAGATACATTACAGTTGATACGTTACGGATGATACATTACGGATTAGATACCATTACATAAACAACATTAGATAACATTACGATAGATAGCTTACGATAGGTACACGATAGATACATTACGATAGATACATTACGATAGATACATTACACGCCATAAGATACAATTACGATAGATACATTACGATAAGATAAACATTACGATAATCATTACGATAGAATACATTACGATAGATACATTACGATAGATACATTACGATAGATACAGTTACGATAGATACATTACGATAGATAACATTACGATAGATACATTACGATAGATACATTACGATAGATACATTAGATAGATACATTACTAGTACATAGATAGATACATACGAAGATACAGATACATTATCGATAAATAAAACATTATTATAAACAAAATATTATATAAAACATTACGATTGACACATAACAATCGACACATCTACCTTATATCAGAGAGAACGAGAAGGATCGGATGGTGAAGTTGTAGAATGTGATGTCACCGATGAGCTCATAGTTCGGCAAGCTTTCCAACCGAGAACCTGCGAAGAGAGTTGGAGAAAGAAATTGTGAGAAAGAAAGATCAGCAATCGAAAGAAGAATCTATTATACTTATCCATTATAATGATAGAAGGGTATGAGGTATATAGGTGTGAATGAAAGAATAAGCCATATCCGTTATCGGAAAGTCCCTGCCGCCATATTGAGATCAGATAAGTATAAACTGCCCTTTTATAACATTGTTAGGATAGAACTGGTCTAGGTTTTTGATCAATAATTCTCTTCACTAACATCGTACTTTAATTCACAGGTGCGTTTCTGTTTACAGTAACATTTAAAAATATGATTGTGGTCATTTGAGATATTTTGCAATGTTTGTGTTAATGCAAAAACGAAAAACCCACGAGCGTTTACATTTTAATCATACATGTACTTTCCTAAGCGTGCCTCGGCCATTTTATACCCCCTTTTTCTGTGACCTAATTAGCACAGCTGGACTTTCCGATCTCACTTATACCCGAGAAATATAGGCTTTCGAATACAATATTACAACCCCTTTAACTATGTAACAACGACGAATACCAACCTATCAACCATAAATTATCTTTTTTACATCATAGATGAAGATACCACACCCTACCTGTCTCTCTTTCTCTCCTAGTATATATATATATATATATATATCTCTCTCTCTCTCTCTCGTCTCTCTCTCTCTCTCTCTCTC